CAGTAACCACAAATGATCTGCCCACGATGCCCGTCTAGCCCACCATTCCCATTCTGAAACTGTGATGGCTCCCTGTTAGTGTGGCTCTCAAGGCTGCACGTGTTCAGCCTCATATTCTACTTCTTGCCCTATACTGAAGCCTCCTCTTTACTACTAGAAGTTTCTAGAATGTGCTGTGACAGCATTGTCATCATGCCTCTCCACAACTATTATTGCTGCTTCTGCTGGAAACAGTCTTCACCCGATTCTCCCTCTAGTGAGCCCCTAAATGTGCTTCCGGGCCCGGCTCCAGTTCTGTTTCCTTACATGAGGTCCTCCCCACCTCCTGCCCCAGGTCCAGTTAACCAGCCCCTCCTCTGGGCTTGCTTAGTGACCTTGCTCATCTCTGACTTCACACACAGCTCACAGTGTGGTAATGGTTGGCTTACACGTCTGTGGCCTGATCCCCGTGTGCTCCTCAAGCCTTGTTCACCTTTGTGCCTTAGCAGAAATCTTAGCAATCTCAGGGATGGGCTCCTTCACGTTGTCAGAAACCAAAGGACAAGAGAATTTTGAGAGAGAGGCTGTTAACCCTTTCCAGTGTCGATGAAGTCAAGAAAGGTAGGAATAGGCCCTGAGTTCTTGGTCATTTTACCAAGGGAGCATGTGATGGTCAATCTTGTGTGTCAGTTTGGCTCGGCTCTGGGGCCAAGTTGTTTGGTTAAACACCAGCCTAGATATTGTGTGAAGCTATTTTTTAGCTGTGATTAACATTTAAATCAGTAGACTTAGAGTAAAGCAGATTACCTTCCAAAATGTGGGTTGAATGCAATCAGTTGAAGGCCTTAAGAGCAAAGACTGAGTTTTCCTGAAGTTGCCTGAAGAAGCAGCAGTTCTGTCTCAAGATTGCAGCATAGGACCCTGCCTGAGTTTCCAGCCTATTGGGCTGCCCTGCAGGTTTCAGGCTCAAGGCTGCACCATCAACTCCTGCCCGATTTTCCAGTCTGCTGGCCTGTCCTACAGATTCCACACTTGCCAGCTCCCACTGGAGCTGAGCCAACTGCGTGAGCCAATTGCTGAAAATCACTCTCTCTCTGTCTCTCTCTCTATATATATATATCTCCTATTGGTTCTGTTTCTCCTGAGAACCCCAACTAATACAGAGTTTGTCAAACCCTGTGTCTCAAAGCCAGTGTAGCTGAGACCTTTCCCAGAAGCCTAAGGAAAGAAGCATGATGTGCATGCGTGTGTGTGTGTGTGTGTGTGTGAGGAAGGGCGGGGAGGGGTGTCAGAGTGGTGAGAATATATGGACAACAAGTGTCACTAAGTTCAGAATTTTGATGCTTTTTAGAAAACTAGTATGTGTAAGTAAAGTGATAAATCTCCAAGATGAAAAAACTCAGCTTTGCGTTAGGTCAAGGGTAGCTGGAAAGCTTGTTTCCACATGCACTGGGATTTATTGAGTGGGAGGCCCAGCTGTACTTGGTCCGGCTCTTACTTTTCTGGTCATTGAATGGTTTGATTCTCCTGTTTATGAGATGGTCATTATTACTGACCAGACAATGGAGAAACAAACGCAGCCTGGGTTCCAGAAGCCTGGTTACTGTTGGCTGGAGCTTCTATTACTGAGAATTCGGGTAAGCTAGGTGTTTGCCTTTCAGGTTTTCCACTGGGTCACTGGATTTCTTTCTTTATGTGGCCCAGGTGTGTTGGATTGTTATCACGGGATATGGTGGCTTCGTAACGTGTCGACTTGGCCCGGCTGACTCTGCTCCTGTATGTCTCTGGTGAGAGTGGGCCACGGAGAGTCCGGTGGGCGATCTGGAGGGCAGAGTAGTGGGCCTGCCGTGTTGCGGTGCACATGCGTCATTGCCCATCTGTGGACTCAGGTCGATGCTGTGAGGCAGACGCTGGGCCTGCAGCTGCTCCACCTTCCCTGATCCTCTGTCACTCCTCCTCCTGGCCTGGTGTGTGCATTATAGCTCTATGACACAGGCCCTGGCTTCTGCAGGACACCCTCATCGCCAAGATCTGAGGCAACGAGACTGTCAGACAGCCCCCGTCCTCACGGGCTCCAGCTCATGCCGTGGTTCTAGCTTGCTCTTGGTCTTCCCCACGCTACACGCGTCCTCCCTCCCCGACTGCCTGCCCCGTGGACTTCAAGCTCCAGCATCAGACACGATGACAACAGCCTTACAGAGGCGGCTCAGTCACTCCCACAACTGTGTAAGGTCAAATCCCGTTATGGATATATGTGGATGTCTCCTAGTGGTTCTGCTTCTCAGATTGGACCCAACACACAGTGTGATAGTCCTTTTGTTATCACAAGGAGAAAAGAAATATACTTCAAAGTATAATGATTCACACACAGTCATGTCATTTTAATTGTTTTTGTCATTTTTCTCAAGCCGGGACTAGTAGAATGGTGGCGTGACCTGAATCAGTAATAAACAGTGGTCTCAGTGTTCACATTCAGTCCCCCATGTAAATGAGGGGTGACGGTGACTCCTGACACGTTTAGCAGTTGGTATACACAGCCCCTTCCTACAGAATGTGACAGCTGCCTGTTCTCCCTGCAGGAGGTGTCCCCTAACGTGAGCGTGAGAGCAGAGACTTTGTTTCCTTCACCCTTTGATTCCAAGCCTGGGGCAACGCCTGGCTCCCGAGAAAGACTTGCTTGAGGAATGGTGACTCCCCTAAGAATCCCAGGTGTGTAACCTCTGGAATCTCCTTGGACAAAGTTCCCTCCTTCTCTATATGGAGAATTCCTCACCCCTCAAAACTAAGCTCAGCCATTGCCTCCTTCAGGGAACTTTTCTTGGTAAGCTGGTTTCGATACTTCTTTTATAACGAAATGTTTCTCCATCGACTACACCAGACTGGGAACTCCAACGGCAGAGCATTCATCTGGGTCACATCTGTGTCTCGAGCATAATACATACCACTGGGCAAGGTAGACTTGATGACTTTTGCAGTTGAACTTCACTACTGTTTCCAGAGTTTGTCGAAGCCCATAGGACTAAACCAGCTTTCAAAAAATAAAGGCGAGTTCCACATGGACTATCTTAGGTAGAGTTCTTAAATCTTTCAGAGGAATCTGCACCTTCTATTTTTGTTACTAGGGCCACAGCCAACAGGACTGTTACATTCATTTCCCTCTAAGTATGTGACGTCAGTCTAGGCAAAACTGTGCACGATTTTTTCCTTTTGTTGTTCAATGCTCAGGAGTCACAGATTCAAACCCCTTTGGGGGTCAGCTAGGTTAATAGGCAAAATGTAAAAGGATGAGTGATGGTGACTGTGGCAGATACGAGAGCAGAGGCCCGTCTCAAGCTTGCAGGCTGGGTGGGGTGCGTGCGGACGCGAAGGTAGAGCACCAAGGACGCAGAGCCACCCAGGCTGCCACATGTGATTTGGCCTCAGACACGGTCCTAATGGGCTCCCAGTGGGTTGCTCCTAAGAGCCATGACTGCATTTACAAATTGCTCAAGGACGGTATGAATTTGATTGCCTTGTCCTTTTGGTGTCGTCATAATATTCCCTCAGCACAGTTTAAGGCAGAAAAATGACCTACAAATCAATAGTGTTTCCTCTTCTTTCCCCCATGATTGAAAGTCATCTTTTACTGAAGGTCAAGGGCTATTTTAGGTGACTGTAGTTAGTCTTGTAAGAGTGATTGTTTCTCTGCGTGCCCTGGAGTGGAACTCTTCTTTAAATATGTGAATGTAATTTGATTTCGAAGAAAGCCTGCTGTAATAAAAACATACACTGAAATTTTCTTTATGTAAAGTAACTAAGAAATTCATTTAGTAGAACATTTATCATGTATAAGCAGCTTTTAATTTGCAACAGCAGTTATTAGGCCTTGCCATAGGGACAGGATTTATCTTTTTTTTTTTTTTTTTTTTTGGTGAGGAAGATTGGCCCTGAGCTAACATCTGTTGCCAATCTTCCTCTTTTTTTTCCCTCCCCAAAGCCCCCCAACACATAGTTGTATGTCTTACTTGCAAGTCATTTCAGTTCTTCCATGTGAGATGCCACCACAGCATGGCTTGATGAGTGGTGTGTAGGTCCATGCCCAGGATCCAAACTGGCAAAGCCCAGGCCGCTGAAGCAAAGTGTGTGAACTTAACCACTCTGCCATGGGGCGGCCCCCTTATCTTTCATTTTTAAGCACAAAGTTTTAATGAACTGGTTCTACCTGCTGTTTAAAATAATGAAAACCCAGTAGGTAACAGGAGGCTCTTTAAAATGCCCACTTTCCCCCTCAAACTCTAGCTCCCATCCAGAGAGTGAATGAAGTTTTGCGTCTTCAGTGCCAGCCTCTCATTCCCCGTGTCTTCCTGTCCAGTTCCCTCCCGGCTCCTGCCCCTCCTTAGTCTAGCCTGCCCCTGCCCCGTTACTATCCAGGAATTTAAGCAGCTCCCTAAGCAGACTTTGAGCACGTCTTGCGTAGCTTTCCTTTGCACCTGTGTCTGGTTCTCAACGTCCCATTCAAAACTCTACACTGACACAGTGACCCTCGGATCCGGCCCCAAGACCACGACTTGAGTCTCCCAGGCTTCACCATGGTCAAGTCCCGGCTCGCATGCCCGTCCTGGGCGGCTGCAGCCCCTGCCTGTCTGGGCGCTCTGCAAGGTGGGGTCCTTGGCTTCTGGCACCACGTGATGTTTGCACCTGATGTCTCCTCGACCAATGTGTGTCCCTCCCGTGTCAGTCTAGACAGCAATTCATTACCTGTTATAACCTTTATAGCCTCTGCTTATTGAATCGGTCTTCATTTTTTCTTGAATGACCATTTTCTGAATAGTTTAACTTGGTATAAGCATACTATGTAAAGGTAATCATGTTACATAAAAGCCCATTGCTTAGTGAAATGAAGGAATAATTAAACATCTAAAATTAATTGCTAAAATATCATTTTATTGTTTAAAAAAATTCCTGAGTAATAGGTCATTTGGAATACCTTGCAGGCACACATTTTAACTTCTCTAAAACAAATAAGAAAAATCACAACCTGCTTTACTTTAGTGTAAAAATCAATTTATTATACAACAATCACACAGAATGCTTTTTATCTACAAAGAAAAATGGCTTTCCCTGCCTCCCTCGCCACCCCAGTCATGATACCATGTTCTTAAGATGTAAGTTCTTTCAAAGGAAAACCAAAAAAGTGATATCCTTATTTTCCAAATAAGCCCCCAGGAACAGCATAAAATGATATTGGAAAGAACTAGAATGTTCTCTTACACACAAAGTGCTGTTCTGCCCATCACAGTAAATACCATTTTGCCTTAAAAATAAGAAATCCCTTTCTGATGGGGGTGGGGAGGTCTTTATCCCCCGATATGCCTAAATAGTTTAATATATAATTTTGATGGGTTGAAAATTTGTTTAATTCTATTAAGTAAATATTCTATTATTTTGTTAGTTTAAAAAATTGTGGGAATTATTAACAGATATGCTTACAATATTCATTTAAGTGTTTTCATTCCTATGAGTAAGAGGACATTTATTTGGGAAAAAACATTTGCCATAACAGATTATACACATTTTTTTTTCTAGAGTTTGTTTTAGGAAAATCACAAAGTAAACATTTTGTTTTTTTAAAGTTGCAACACTTAATGACAGCTTAAAATATTCACTTGATTCAAATATTGTGGCTAAGATAGTTCTGTGTATTTTTACCAGCCCTTGAATGGTTTAAGGCTATAAGTGTTTTATTAAGCTCCTCTAGAATTAAAGACCAAATTGGAAATAAGCATCCTGGAACCTCTAACTAAACTGAGCTTGACAGTGTAAACTACCCGAGTTTTCCCCTTTGATCTGAGAAGTTTCAAGCTGCCTTGACTTAGAGCTGCGTGACCCTGTCACTCTGAATGATGGCATCCCTGGCTGCTCGCAGACATGAAGCCCAGGAGGGCATCCAGAACCGCAGCAGTGCTGCCGAGTGGCGAGACTGGAGTGCCCCACTGACAATTAAGAATAAGCTGAATACAGTGAAGGACCAGGGATGTCCGAGTCTCATTTTTACCTGGAACCAACTAGGATAACAGATTTTAGCCCATGTTTGAGACCTAAAACTGAACTGGAGTCCAGTTGCTCCAAAGGGGCTTCTCCTTAGCCCAGCTTGTGTTCTGTCATAGAGGAGCAACAACAGTGAGACTCCAAGCTAGCCCTTATTTTACAGTGAGTTTCTGGGAGACAGTCCTCACAACACACAGTTGTAATGGGATGGAAGTGGGGGTTAAGCACCCTAGAGCAAATCAGTTTTAGAAAACTAGAGGAATCAATCCAAGAGCAAGTGGGCATCAGACAGAAGATGTCTGTGCAATGGAGATGGAGCAGCTGGCAGGGAAGGGGACGTCAGAGGACACAGCACAGTCACCAGGAGGGCTAGACTAGGATCGCTCACCTTTTGGAAAGGGGCCAGAATCCTGAGAGGGGAGTTGACAGGAAAGAGAAGTTAGCAGAGTCAGTACAATGTCAGTACAAAAGTCAGCGTTTTTTTAAAAAAAAAAAAAACAGGAAAAATAATTTAAAAGCTCAGGGAAAAAAGAGCTCAGGGAAAAAAAATGGCAAAAAAAAAAAAGGACAGAACGGTGCCCCAAATGGACCGTAATGTGTTGGGGCAATGTGAAAGCGCCTTTCCGGCACTTAAGCATTTGATGTCAATGTTAAGACCTAAAAACTTATTTTAAAAAGGTAGGAAAGAATAAAGTGTCAAAATTGGCAAGTCTTGTTTTATCAGGTAGAAATAACAATTTTATAGGGTATCAAATCTTCAGAAAATAGTTTCCATTCTTGGTACAGTTTAATAGTAAATAACAGTCCTCCACTGAGGGAGAAAGACAATATTCATTAACACCTTCCTTTGCTCTTGTGCTGGGGTCTCAGCAGAGATCGCAGTACCCCAGCGGGGGAAGGACGTGCTGGGTTTGCCAAACGACTTTTCACCGTGGCTCGTTACCAGCCATGGCTCACTGCTGGGATCTTTCCATAGTCCTCCATCTTTTTCTTCCTACTTTCAAAAACTTGACCTGCAAAGTGATAGCCGGTATTTGGGGAGAATATTCACAAATAGGCTCACGAGAAATAGTTGACAAATTCAATGTCTATTTTGCGCCCCCGTTGCTCTGTTAATTCTGATTTATAAATATTCCAGGGATATATCATTCTAAGGAAAAGGGAAGACTGGGCTTGAGTTCCTGTTCAGAAAGGAAATGGGCATCCAGATTTAGATCCTGCTTGTAATACTGAGCGTTGTGTCTGTCTATATCCTAACCCAGGGGAACTTAACAGGAGAGGTAGGCATGAATATGTGAATAATTAAGGACACCAAATTAAAACGGAGAACTCCTACCCAAAGCCCCTGAGCTATGAGGGTTTGACAGAATATTTTTTTTCTTCCTAAAAAAACGAATCTTCAAAATAAAAAACAATACAAATTTCATTACCATATCATTAAGTTGAGAATTAAGAGCAGTTGTGGGAATTTGACAGACTCTAACTTAAGAGAGAAAAGTTGCTGGATTTCCCATTTATGATCCCATGTCAATATTTCCTGGGGTTGATTCTTAAAGGAACAAATGGGCTGATTACTTTATGCACTGACAATTATTGCTTAATATAGATTAGAACATACCCTGTATTTAGAAGACAATTAACATTTTGTTTTAAACATTTTAATCTGAACAAAACCCTAACTTTTTATTTGCAGACTTGCTGTGAAGAACACTGTTCCCTGTCTCCCGGCTTTGTCTGTGTATAAGGCGTTACGAGGACGTTTCTGGGGAGGGGTTCAGTCCCACCGAGAGGGGAGGATGAGAAGTGGCACCGATTCTGAGGTCTACAGAGCTCAGCCTCACCTCAATGCTGATGGAAGCATTCCGTTAACAGATTAACCTAACAGCAATATATTAACACATTTGGGTACAAATGATTTATAAACTCAAAAGAAATTAGTTTATGTCAAAACATATATAACTTTGAATTCAGTCTTTGCTTTAAAACAAGCGAATCTGTTAGGCTATTATGTATGCTTTGTCTGCCCCTCGACGTTACTGTGCCTTCTTGCCGATCACTCCGTTCGCTGCGGTCAAGTAGGCTTTGGAAAAACCATTCTTCACTTCTTTCCCTGCAGGTGGATCCTCCATGTCTTTCTTCACTGGCTTTTTTCGGTATGTCTGTTAGATGTGTACATTTGGAAGAGAAAAAGAAAAAAGGATTCTTTAACAAGACCTTGTCTCTAAGGTGGCATATAGTCTAAAACAGGGCATGACTTTGTTAGATGCTGGACTTTCTAATAAGAATTCTTGTTTGCAGTATGACAATTTTTAAGCTTCTAGTTGAAAATAAAAATAAGGTAAAAACAAGATAAATGCATGAATTCTAATGAAAGGTTTCTTTCACCTTATCTACAGTACGTTACTGTTTTGTATTATGGGATTGGCATTAAAATTATTCTGCATTACTTGTTTACCTGGAAAGGATATAATTTTTTGCGCTTTTTAAAATTGAGGTGTAATTGATATACATGCTATTATTTCCAGGTGTGCAGCGCAATGCTTCGAGGTGTGTGTATTTCGGAAACAATCACGCAGTAAGTCTAGTTAAGAACCGTCACCGTACGCAGTTACACAATTTTCCTTCTCGTGATGAGAATCTTTAAGATCGACTCTCTTAGCAACTTTCAAATAGCCACTACAGTATGATTAACTAGAGTTGCCACGTGGTACATGACATTCCCAGGACTTATTTAAAGATATAATTTTTTTAAAATACAATTCAAGTGAAAAGTGCTGTTACTTGAAAAGTACTAGTACCTGGGACTCTGCCTTAGTTTTTGCACATCCTTCCTATACTGACAAAATACCTCATCTCATCTCATTTTCACCGTTTTTGTGTGTTAGGCAGTCATATTAACAAGGGTCAAGACTGAAAGTCTGTGCTTAGCCGTAATGGACTAGTGCTCAGTCTGAACCCACAGCAGGTTATAGCTGTTGAGCGCCCCGCTGCCAGGCCACACACTTCTCTTCCCGTTTCAGCCCCATGCACCAAAACGGCTCCCTGAGCTTTCCCTTAACCTTTTGCTTTTGTGTGTATGTGTGTGTGTGGCTTTGTTTGGTTCTATCAATGGTTATTTCTTTAGAAATCTCAAAGGAAACTTTTATCTCACAAAACACAAAGCCTCGCCAGTCCAACTTCAGAAACACAAGAGCTGAAAAGCTGTCAGAAGTTCCGTTCCCACAGCTGTGCTTCGTACAAAACTGCTATGGGCTGACTTTCAACAAGCGCACACTGGAAAATCAGAAAGCACTTGTTTGTCAGAAGAAGAAGAAAATACAGTTGAATACAATTTCAAAAGCACTGTTTTGAATATAAATGTGTGTTCTTGTTTTCCTGAAGCTTTGTTTCCCCAGCCCACAAAGGAGAGCACTTTAAAATCTCCAACCACCTGCGGCCTGTGCTCTGCTCTGCTTTCATCAGTTCTGCATAACGGAGTTGCTTTGAAATTGCATTTGAAGCGCTCTTCCATTTAAATTGTTAGTTAAGGGGCTGGCCCCGTGGCCGAGTGGTTAAGTTCGCGCGCTCTGCTGCAGGCGGCCCAGTGTTTCGTTGGTTCGAATCCTGGGCGCGGACATGGCACTGCTCATCAAACCACGCTGAGGCAGCGTCCCACATGCCATAACTAGAAGGACCCACAACTAAGAATATACAACTATGTACCGGGGGGCTTTGGGGAGAAAAAGGAAAAAAAATTAAAAATCTTAAATTGTTAGTTAAAAAGAAAATGACACTTCAGAAAAAGTCAAGGTGACCTTTACACACTGGTTTGCCTTAAAATAATTTTCTCCAAATAAACAGTGAGTCTACAACATCACAGTGGCTGATATGGAAACAATTTTTTAGTATTAAATTCATTTAGCCCACATTTTTCTCCATTCACATATATTTCCTGGATCTGTCTTACGATACACAGTGTTTAATTTTCAGACGTCAAGCTTCGGTCACATGGTGCAAATACATGATACAAATGCATAATATTGCTGTTAGAACTTTACATTCAGGCCTTGAGAAGGGTTTACTAGAATGCCCATGCACCATTCGCAGTAGTGTCCTTCAAGCAGCAGAAGGACTTGGGGAGAGGAGTTAGGAATGCAAGGTTCATGTTTTACTTTGTGCACCTCTAGCAATTGAATTTATCAACAAGCCTGTGCTGCTATATATGTTTAATATAAAATTAAACATATATAATGCAAAAGTGCACAATCTATTGTTTTAATGCTGAATATTTACATTTAACTTACCTGAACATAAAAATTTAAGAATAGGATGACTAATGTAAGCATGTACGAAGACTGGAAGATGAGACAGCCGAAGGGGAAGCCACACGGTTTCACGACAGCACTCATGGTATGCGTAATGGTGAGCACAAACTGCACCTGGAAGGGGGTGGAAAGGGCATCGTGGTGAGGGACTCAGCCCGAGCCATGTAAAAACCCCTCTGAAGTTCTATCCATTTAGAAACCAACTACAGTCATGCACTGTATAATAGCATTTCAGTCAAGGACAGACGGCATATGACATGGTGGTCCCATAAGGTTTGCACCATACAGCCTACATGTGGAACAGGCTATTCCATCCAGGTTTACCTAAGTACAATCTATGATGTTCACACAATGATGAATTCACCGAATGACACATTTCTCAGAACGGATCCTCGTTGTTAAGTGACACATGACTGTACTCTTACTCCCTAAATTTTGCAGGAATAAAACAAACGTGAAAATGCTGAAGCAGCCCACTAGCCTGTCCAGAAACTTTATTTGAAATTATATTAGTACGTATATATAATTGCCCATTAATTTTCTCATAGAAAAGTAGCAGTTGAAATTATTTAGATAAAAATGACTTAACAGAGACATTACCTTTAGAGTATATCTACATTTGAAAGCATGGAATAAACTAATTGAATTGCATACACAAAGAATGTTTTAACACAAGGTTTCACTCTTAAAAGGCCGTTTTTAGAGAAAAATAGGCAGCCTCATCACACTTAGAAAAGCCCCTGACTTCTAAGAAGACAAGTTCCTGTTTCCTTTCCCTCACCCATGAGAATGTTTGGGCGCTTCACATGGAGACGAGCTGAAAGAAGGGAGGACATACCAGCTGAGCCTGCGTGAGATATTTCTTCCACCAAAGGTACTTGTGCATAGACGGAAACACAGACAGCCCATAGTAGGAGTACATGAGAATGTGGATAAAACTGTTCAGTGTGGGTCCAAAGAAACCTGTAGAATGAGAGGATAACAATTCTCTTCTAGAAAGTAGCATTGTTCATTCTTCGTCAAGTGAGATTCTTCCTGTGCATAATTGAAGATGAATAACCAATATGGTGCTAACAAAATTCACACTAAAACTTTGCCCAGATTATCGTGCCTTTACTCCAGGATGCAGCAAAAGCCACCTAGACAGAAGGACCAACTGGGGAGAGCTTTTCAGTCAGAGCGCCAACCACACAGGGAATTCCTGATTTGCAAAGGCTTTACTGTCTCTTTAACTGTCATTACTATCAGCTAATCAGGGAGAAAAAGAAATGTTAGCTTAAAGCCGTGGCAGAATTTGAGAGAGAAGTGTCTTTGCTTTAGCTAAACCTTTGATGAGCCCTTTTGATTGTGGAAAGAGAGGCTTCAGTACGTGGCTGAAAAGGGTGCTAAAGAGTCTAGGAAAATTCGTTGCTCTTTAATTAATAAAATCCACTCAAAAGGGACCTAGGAAACCAGAGATCTGGGGAAGGTGAGAGAATACAGAGGAGAGAGAAGGTCCAGCAGGATGAGAAAAGGCTGAGACTGAGGAGAGACTAGGCAGTGAGCCCTTCCCAGTGGCTGGACCATCTCATGGACTTTTAGGACGAGGAACAGCTGAAATACAGTTTTAGGACATTTGCTGTGCTAAGCTGAGCTGCAGCATTCCCCCATCCTCTGACATCATCTTCACAAAATCTTCTCTATGACTGCCACCAACACGGGCAGATGGTGTTTCAGGAAACCAAGGAGAAAGGGCTAAGATCTGTGTTGGGTCAACTAAGGGTGAAAAAGATTTAGCTGCAAGAGGGGAGATGTCAGAGATGGATCATTTGTTGGAAACAGGGAACTGGCTGTTGTGAGGATTAAATCAATCAATATATGTAAAGTGCCTAGAACAAGGCCCGGCACAAAGTGAACACTATGTGTTGGCTTGGGATCCAGATGGCTGGTCTGTGAGCTGTCAGTCCTGCGCTAGAAGAGACTGTGGAGCTAGAGGACCCCTTATTCGCTATGTCCCCTTGGATGTCACTTTGACTATAAATTTTGATTTCCTCATCTGGAAATGGGTATAATAATAATTACCTCTTAAGGTTGTGCAGGGATTAGCTGAGGTGATGTAATACTATATAAACTAAGAGGCACTGCACATATGCTGCTTAATGAATCCATTTCAATTCCCTAGCCTGGTTTCTCAATCCCAGATTAGAGGTCCATTAGATAAATGCAGATCAATGAATAAGAACAAAAGGAACAATACCACCCCCATCTAGTAAGTTCTTAACAAACACTGGCTGGGATAACTTGTTAAGGAACTTGAATTTACATGAAAATCCAAATGTAGTTTCAGAGTACCAGGTAGCACAATATTAGTGATATTTCTTTACCCACCTGAGTTTTCATTTCCATCACTTAATGAAAAATGAGTAGTTGCAGCATATAATTTTTATAATCTATGTTGAGTAGAAATTGTCACACACTGTATTTTACTCTCAGGAATTCTATGTCTTTACATAGAGATTATTTGAGACTGACCTTTAGGTGCTTAGTGATTTGTAATGAATCGCTTGACAATCACAAAAAATACTTAAACTTGATAACTGTCCTTTGGTGTTGACTATGGTGTTGATTATAGTCTGTATACTGATTACAGCATAAGGCTATTATAGTCTTAATAACTAAACTCAAGAAACTAGATTCTGTCCAAGAGACGTGTGAAAAGCATCTCTTCCGGCCCCCTGCATCCCTGGCAATTTCCTTCTCCACACTGTAGCTTAAATTTGCATCTTCACAGTCACTGACGTATTCTAAACATCCTTGGAGTTTTTAAAAAATATCATCTCTACAAGATCCTAAATCCTAGGACAAATCATTTTGACTTAAGTTTTACCTGTTCTGATTTTTCATAGAATATTTTTAAATTCTTGGGTACAAGACAATATTGAATAGAAAAATACTGTTTTCTCTAGCTCAGTGTTTCTCAAACTGCAGGTCATAACAGACCCATTAGTGAATTGTGAAATCAATGTAAAGAGAGTTGTCATCAGCTTTTTAAAAAAGTGAAATAGAATTTTTAAAAAAATACTTCACACAGAGCCAGGGTAAATATTGTTTATGAAATTTGTTTCATACAAAATACATAGATATGGATGAGTGCATTGAGCTGTGATATTAAATGTATTTCTTATTGTAGTTCTCAGTAAAAAAAAATTGAAAGCCACCGTTTTGGTGTGTCACAGTGATGTGACTTTAATTTTTCAGAATGGAAAAACAAGCCCTAAAAGTTTAAATGACTCAATCTATACCACAGCCAAGTGGTGATTGTGGAAGATGTTATATTTACTTCTATAGCCTCAGGATTTGGAGTAAACCTGCTCTAGCTGGGGTATGTGCTTCTGGCCAGGGGACATTTGGTGCATGGAAAAGCAAATATTTTAAAAATTTAGGGTAACACTCAGATTTTGCCAGTATCAGAAACTAAATGGCCCCTGGCCACCCCGTGCTTCCCCCTGTGACAAAGCAGGCTACGCCTGGCCCCCCTGCCCGCCCTCCTGAGCAGCACGCAACGCTCAGCACAAGACTTACTCGAGGTCTCACAAGATCCATTACACAGAACGGAAAACTTGGAAAACGTAACAATAACTTACTTTGTCCACAAGGTATCCAGTTCAGAACACACCACCAGATGTTGAACATCGACGCATGATGGTATACATGAAGAAAAGTAATCTGACTGGTTTTTTTCCGCAAAACAAAGAAAATTGTGTCCAGGAACTCTATTAATTTGGAGAAGTAGTACCACCACAGCACCTTGGCCACCTATAGGAATTTTCCAATGGGAAGGAGGAAAGGTGAGCAAAGCAACGCTCCCGTGCTGCCCCTCTCAGCACGCTGCGTGTCGCCGTGCTTCACGAGCGGGCATTTCTCTCTCAAACTGTTGAAGAAGCATCTTACCTGGCGTCTTTGCCTCGTTTCCTCTTATTCCCAGCAATCCACCCCACTCTACTGAACATGAATTAATTTTCCAAAATACATATCTGATCAAGTTACTCCTCTGCACTTACAGAACCAAGTCCATGATTCCTAGGCTGACACAGGATCTTCCCCGGCTTACGCTGGCTGCTCTTTCCACCTCCCCCTCCAAGCACACCCCAAGGCATCCTGCATGCTATTAAAGTGGGCTGTTGGCTCCCCCTGGAGCCCCGCTGCCCTCTCTGCTCCGTGCCTCTTAATACTCCTCTCCCTGCATCCAACTCCCCTTCCTCCCTAGTGGCTGGCATGTACCTAGTCACCCTTTATTAACACTCCTCGTAAACGCCCCCTTCTCCCTGGGACTCTACCTAGTCCTCTCCTTGCTTTCCTCAGGCTGAATCAACTGTTTCTTCGTTTGTATTCCCAAACTACTTCCTGCCTCTATTATCAATAACCATAACAAAGGGTAGTTAGTGTTATGAATCTATCTTTTCCGATAGACGGTAAGTCACTTGCAGGCAGAGACTGTCTTGTTCCCCGTTGCTCAGTGCCTAGCACTCAACAGGAGAGCACTCCTGTTTGTGATAGTAGATCTCACTGTTCTCTATGCCTCTGATGCACAGATGTTTCATCTGGAATATCATACTACCCAGAGCAGTCTACGACTACTTCTCTCATGTCTCTTCCAAGAAAAGACTAAAAATCGAGATGCTCCCCTCCTCACCGACAGCAGCAGGCCACGATCACCACTTCCTGCCCCTCCTAGTCCCTTACACAGTCTCATCGACAGGAAGCGCCGTAGTTAAAGGTGCTAACAGTTAAACACATGAGGAGACAGTATAACAGGAACTTTGAAATTAGACTATCACGCCCTACTGCCTACTTCCCAAGAAGATAACCATAATGTGTGGTAGCATCCATCTTAATGTTTGAGGGAGTAATAACCTTCGAAAATATTAAACCAGAAATAAATACAATGACCTCTAGAGAACTGTGTGATATCCCCAAGTGCACTGGTCCATGACAATATATTAGAAATAAAACAGGTGCTTACTGTTTTGTATTATTGCTTTGTAGGTGTTTTAAAATGTTTATCCTAAAGATTTTAATTAAAAGGTTTCTACCATCTCTCTTATTAATAATCTGTTTTTTATTACAGAAATTTTTAAACACAAATGCAGGGAGAATCAGTATGACAAACCCACTGGTATCTACCACTGAACTTCAAAATTTTCAATATGACCCCAATTGCTGAATCAATTCTATTTCCCACCACTTTTTTGGGTGCAAGTGTAGCATTATAAGCAGATCCAAAATGTCATTTTATCTATAAAGCCTTCTAAAAGATGGGGAGACTTTGTTTTGTTTTAACATAACCACCATGACATTATCTTATCTGATAAAATTAATGTTTCCTTAATATCTTCTAATAGCCTAGTCCATGTTCAAATCTCCCTTTTTCAAAAATGTCTTTTTAGAATTGATTTGTCTAAATGAGGATGCAAACAAGGGCCAGCTTGCATCTGTTTGACGTGGTTCTTCAGTCTCTCCTCCTCAGTAATAGTTCCCTTTCCTTGTTCCTCCTTTTTCTTTCATGTCTCTTATCTCTTAAAAAAAAAAAAACAGATCAAGATCAAGGGGCTGGCCCGAAGGCATAGTAAAGTTCACATGCTCCACTTTGGTGGCCTGGGGTTCATGGGTTCAGATTCCAGGTGTGGACCTGCACACTGCTCATCAAGCCATGCTGTGGCAGCGTCCCACACACAAAATAAAGGAAGATTGGCAACAGATGTTAGCTCAGGGCCAATCTTTCTCAGCAAAAAAAAACCAGATCAATTTTTGCCTAACATCATGGATTTGGATGAGTGTTTCTTCCTAGTGTTATCTAACTTGTTTCTCCATCGCCCACATTTTCTGTAACTAGCAATGGGATATAGAGGCTTGGCTGGATTCAGGTTTAAGGTTTTTGGCAAGAGTACTTCATGGGTTGCTCTGTGTACTTCCTATCGCCTCACATCAAGGGGCACATAATCTCTGGCTATTCCACTGACATTCAGACAATCAGTGAGTCCAGGTGTTGACAGCCTAATTCAATCCTTATGAAGTTTCCATCACTTTCACCCAATAGTTTTACCATTTACAGATGACTGCTGTCTGGGTCCATTACTTCACTAGGAGCTGCAAAACACTGATTTTCTAATTCTCTTGTTACTTATACATTTTTCTCTTCTATAGAGAAGAACTCTTCCTCTTTATCTTTTTGGAAATTCACATATAAAAGCCAAGATAAATGTTTAATTCTTTCCCTTTAATTTGTTTTCTAGAATGAGCCGGTGTTCTAGCAACCTTCAAAAGGTAACAATGAGGGCTTTTCTTTGGATCATTTTAAACTCATGGTTTTTAATAAATTTAAAATGTTTCAATCCACTCCGGTCAGTTATCTTTTTGATACTCAGACTGTCCCATCCTTAGCAGTAGAAGTCTCTTCAAGGTGGCTCCTATCTTTTTGTCATTACCCTAGCAGTCTTGGACAGCTTCCTTACTTTCTGTCACAAGATGTCCTAGATTCTTCTTACGTACATTTCCCACCCCAAACCAGGAACTGGCCAATTCTCTAAGAATCCTAATCCCTTCTGCTGAAAAATTATATTTAGAGAGCACACTTCATTGCTCGTTGTACTGGTTGTCATAAACAAGGGCTTTTCTGTACACAGCTAAAAAACATGTTTTGGTTTTATAAAGAATAAAGTTAATTCTGATATTTCCTATTTGAGTCTATGATTACTGGGTTTTAGTTTAACTTTTTTATTGGTATCTCTTTTCTTCTCTGTTTCAAATATTAGTTGTAACGATATTATTATATACTTACTTTATCCTTCAGTGTACCTATAAGTCTCAAAAAAGCAATACAATATTTTTATTAGTAATAGCAAACAAAAAATTACTGAATACTGTTAAGATATATCTCACCAGGGATGTCCAGTCAAAACACTGTATTTTAAAGTCACTTGAAATAATCATTCTTTAGATGGTTATGTCACCAACTTAATATATGGGTAGATTCATTTATATTAGTTTATTTCCATGTTTTTTGGGGGGAGGCTGCGTTACTTTCTGTTTAAATTTAATTTTGTTTTCTAACACTTAATGAGTCAAAAACCAAACATACAAAGCACATCCAGAGAAGTCTGGCTTCCATCCCTATCCCCTCTATCCTGTTTCCTCCCCTAAAAGGAAACAAAACATTTTCTTAGCTTTTGGTTTATTCTGCAGATGTTTCTTTTAAAAACACAAGCAAATACACACACACATATATTCATATCATTTCTTGCACAAAAGCTGCTATACCATGAATGTGGCCTGCAGGCTGCTTTTTTTCACTTAGACATGTCCTGGAGATCATTCTGCCCCAGTGTAGGGGTCGTCCTCACTCCATGTTGCAAAGGGAACCATTACGTGGACATGCCATGGTGTACTCAGCCAGTCCCCATAGTTGGACATTTGGAAAACATCTTTGTGACCAAGCATTTCTATGAGAACAGGAGTCCCTTTCTTCTCTAATCTCAGCCCCCACCCTCATATCTGGAAGGGGAAAGCCTTCTCTCCCCTCAGTGAGAAATGGTTGCAGATAGCTGGTTTACTTCTCAGGACTCACCCGGATATCAGCTTCGCCCGCACTGGCAAGATCCTGACACTGTAAGTTGTAGCCTCCTTCCCAACTGGAGAGAACAAGCTGCCAGAGAAACAGGAAGGGGAAATCAACACAAGAGCCTGGACAAAACGGAATTTGCCATTCATGTTTCCGACTGGCATCTACTCAAGGTTTAAGTAGAAATCTCCAAGAATTGGAGTTTGACTCGATCCTGTCCTCAAACACACATTATCAAAGGATTTAATTCTTGCTGTCAAACTGCTATCAATGGTTATATTCCTTAATTAATATATTTCTATCCTTTATATTGGCTTATATATCAATATTTATCTTATTTTATCATCAATTATATTATGAGGTACATATTTACCATTTTACAGATATGAAAGCCAGGGCTCAGAAAGGTTCTTAAACTGTTTTCTTCATTCTGTTTATGCTACATGGTAATCAATCATTTGTGTGATTATAATTGATTAATGTCTATATTCTCCATTATGCACAAAAAACAAAAAGCTCCATAAAATCTATGCCTCCTCTTTTGCTCATCTTTGTATCTACAGTTCCTTGCCCGATGCCTGACACACAGAAAGCGCTCAATACATATATGATGAGTTAATGACTTGCTCAAGCTTATATGGCTGGAAAGTGGTAGAGCAATAACTGGAATTCAGACCTTCTACTTCCTTGTCTAGTGTTCTTTCCACAACATCATAAGAAAATGAGCTTTTTCATTCTTTGTAGAAAATTCCACAAAAGAAGTTTTCTCCTTTCTTTCCCACTATTACTGAAGAAACTTAAAATTCTAGAATATAAGGCATTTGGATTTGATTTACATAAGGTATTATACTATATGCAAGAGCCTATTTTCTGTTGCTTATCAGAAATGCATAAAGGTATAGAATGGTTAAAATACATGTGCAGAGCAGGGAGGGATGGGATGTTAATGAACTGGACATTAAAGAGATGAACTACTCAAAACATTTAGGATGCTTTAGAACTTCGGTGAGTCTTTTCTCCACCATCCTGACTTACCACCTCTCTGTCCTTCCAACAAAAGCACCTTCCAGTTAACATCAGGATAATTATAGATTGTCATGAAAAGGAATCTAGTGAAAGTAAGACAGACTGAATTCTCCTGATAGGGTCTATTACAAATCAGGTTATCCCCCACCCTCCCCAGAGCTTTATGTGCCTGGTTCCCAAGTGGGAACCACTGATAGGCTAGAGGGGATCTAGGAAAACCTAAAAGTATATGAAAATTTGTATGTTGGTGCATTTTGCAAAATAAGAAAGCTGTTTAACTTTCTGCAGAAAGATTAACTGAAAAGCTCTATGGTCAGGCTGTAGTTTTGTAGTAAGGGGCTCTAGTCTCTACTTTGTTTACTGACAATAAAGTAGTGGGAGAGGATAGGCCGTATTCTCTATTACCCCATGACATTTCCTTCTTTAGTCAGGTTTATCCAGGCTGTCCCCCACACCTGTGGCACCTGGGCAGAAGCACTTGACAACTTAATAACTAAGTAGTAGAACTAAGCAGCCTATCTTAATACTGGAGGCTCTATCGGCCGCCCCCTGGACCATTCCTAATCCCCTAGCTGCGCTGGTGTACAGGAGCCATCCAACCTATGTACTGAAGAAAAGGAAACCAGGCTGTCAAACAGGATTAGCCTTAAGGAGTTGTGGGCTAACTCACTCCAAAATATGTCTAGAATCCACTGGCTTCTCCCCATCTCCACCACCTTAATCCAGGCCTCCAGCATCTGCTGACTCTAGTTCTGCACTCGTCTCCTAACTGGACTCTTTGCTTCCATTCTTGCCCCCAACTCACTCTCATAGTACACTTTCCATGCAGCAGCCAGAATAATCTATTTTAAAAGGGAAATCATATCACTCCCCTCATTAAAATCCTCCACAATGGCTTTCTGTTATACTTAGAATAAAAGCCAAATCCCTGACAAGGCTCTATGTCATCTGCCACCTCTCCACCTCATCTTGAATCCTTCTCTCCTCTGTCCACTGGGTCCCACCTACATGGCTTCCTTTTATGGTCCTTGAACACCCCAAGCTTGTTTCTGCCCCAAGGCCTTTACACTTGCTGCTCCTTCTGCATCAACATGCTCTCCCCAGATCTTTATTTCCTGGCTTATTTTCATCATTCAGTCTCAGCTCAAACATCACCTCCTCAGAGAGGCATTCCTGCCCCACCACCAGCCCATCACTCTTTATCACACTAGGGCAAAGGCTTTGTTGTGGAATCTAGAATAGAATCTGAAACAGTGTAAGAAATCAATACGTATTTGTTGAAAGAACGTTAATAAGTTTAGCAGTAACTTCCTGGCCTAAGCAAACATCTGGCCGGGGCATAACAGGGTAGCAAGGTTAAATCAACCTGTCACTCGACTAGTGTCTATTAAGCATACCCCAAAAGAGTCAGAGAAAAAACCTGATGCCTGACCTGAAAGCTTACAACCAGGGGAGACTGGGAGGCAATCAACCATAGTGATTTTGAATCAAGAGACATAAAAGTGTGAGAAGAGAAACAGACACAATTCGTTGCAGGAATGAGCTCGGTGCACATGTTCTCCCTAAAAAACACAGAAACCATTTACTTGGTTGTTCAAATACTAAACTGTTGTTCTTGTTCCTGTTGATGGTGACTGATACTCACTTTAAAACTTACCAAGCCTTTTCACATTTACTAAGTCCTCCTTGTGCTGGTCTGTGAGCTCTTCAAGTACAGAAACCATGTCTTACCCACCTTGGCATCCCCTGGGCTCAGTGCAGTTCACACACCTAGAAGGGACTCACTGGAAGCTGGCGAAACAGACTGATAAACCCTTACAACTCACTCGTGAGTTAAGTAGGACAAATAGCACATCTTCTTGTTACAGATAAGTTGCCTAAGGTTCAGAGAGTCTAAGTAACTCCTCTAAAACTACAGAGAAAGTGACAGAGCTGACACTTGAGTTTGGGTCTTCCGACACTACCCCCCAGCTTCCAGCAGGGATTGGAGCTTCCAACGGAGTCAGACCTTCAGGCTGGCCCTCCTGACGCAGCTGCCACTTCTGAAAACAATTTGGGGAAGAGTACCTTTCCCTTTGTGATAAAGAGACACTAACCCCATGAATTACCATCTTGCAAGCTCATCTAGGGAACTAAAATTCACCTGGTAGAGAACCTAAAATAAAAATTCCCCTTTCAGAGGCAGGTAAATTAGTGAGCACCTGTGTGATATGATTTCCAAGTTGTGAGCATTCTTTTCCTGACCCCAGATTCCATCTTCTGTGCTCTGATGCCTAAAATTCCATTATTAGACTTTCATTACAATCGTTTAAGGTAATGGTTATTAACAATTATTAGAATGGTGCATATTAGACTAATGCACAGATTAAATTCTATCAGTGAGAGGACCTATATTTTAGGCAAGGATTTATTTTCTTTGAGAATTCAAGGGCACCAGGAAGGGAACTATCCCTGCCCTGTCATCAGACATTTATAACTTATATGAATGATTTTATCCTAACTTTTCCCTAAAAAAGATTTTGTTATGTTTTGTTCTCTTTTTCTTTCTGGGGCTGCTCGCTAGAGCAGCTTTATTAACCCTTTTAGATCTTCCCTTGTATTTTGGTAAACTAACCTTTGGTTGGATGGGCAGGGGAATCATTACTTGTTCTTTTTCTTGTAAAATTTCTTGGGTTTGGCACCTGACACAGGAATGGGGAGTGCACGAGGGCAGCTAGAGCTGAGCTGGGATGTCAACTCAGCCTCCAGAATTAGTGCTGAGAACAGCTATGCCACTGTCAGTGTCCAAAGATGCGGGAGTATTCTGGAAGGGACTATGTATTTGTATTTCAGTCAGACTAACTTCATTCGCTATTTAATTTAAAAAAGGACTCTGTTACACAATAGCTGTCTATTCTCAGGCAAATCATATAACTTTTCTAAGCCTCAGTATCATAACCTGAAAAAGGATAAAATTACAACATGTTCTTTAAAGGCCCTTTCAGATCTAAATTATGATTTTAAATTATAATGAAAGACTAAGGACTAAAGAAATAGCCCTCAATTGGAATAAGAAAAATCCAAGTTAGAAACAAAGACTTCTAGGACTTTGGGAAGGAATATCAAATGCTGGAACAAGTTCTTGAGATCTTAAAGAACAGTATCGATAGCAACGTTGGATAGTTCCGGTATGCTAGATTTAACTGCTTCTAGAAATCACTCAGTTACCGGACTCCAGCTTTAGCTACATAAATACTTACCTCTACCAGCATATATAGGGAGAGAAGTGTGATTCCGAGATTATACGAGGTGAGAATACCTCTGAGGGAAAGAGCAGGCCTGTTCTTCATATATTTGTTACCCAGCCATATTGAAAGCAGATATATGACAGTAAGGAAAAAGGTAGGAAGGTAAGAGTCCAACATGAACCATCCTCTGACTCGAGAATCTGAAAAGAAACACAAACAGTGAGAATCCTGAAGAGTAACATTTCTGTTTAGTTATAAGATATTTCACATATGTTTCATCTGTACATACCAAATACATCAGGGAACACCATGACACAGCATTAAGTAAGCTGGATTTGGGTTATGGTTCAGAAGAAGAAACCAGTGGGGCTGGAATAGTAAAGGAAGGTTTCATGGAGCAAACAGGAATTAAGCAGAACACTGTGTGACACAGAAAAGTGATAAAGGTGGGAAGTAACGGTTCTTGAACGTCTACTTTGGAACAGTTTTTATGTGTATTTACCCTAACCCAAAAATATGAAGTAAGTACTCTTAGGCCATTTTATGGATGAAAAAACAGCTCAGAAAGCTTTAGTAACTTACAAAATGCCAGACAACATCGGCAGCAGAGTCAGGATTTCAATTCACATCTGACTCCCAGCCCATTAGACCTGCTGCTGCTTCCCGTGGAGGAGATCTGAGTAGGCAGGAGAGAAGGGACATTGACACTGAATTCTAATTGCTGAAACCCACCCTCCCCAGCATTTGCTTATGATCTTTGTGCATTAAACCAGGAATAGGTTTAGAGTTCAGCAGATCCAAACACCGCAATGGGATTACAGAACGGCAAGTGCGGGAAGTTGAAGATGATGAAGGCAAAGCCTTAGAGCTGATGATTCAGAACTGAGAGCAGAAAATAAAACCAAGGACCCAAACTTGACCATGGATTAGAAGTACAAACAGCCAGGAGGCAAGAACCTGGACACATCAAGTGTGCCTTACACTGGAGAGTGAAAATGTAAAAACCTAAGTAAAACACACATAATAGATCTATAATACAATTAGTAATACCTGAAAATAACTGTAGGCACAAAATAATTTTTGTTCTCTACTCTGCTCTTTTTGTTGTTGTTTAAAGAAAGAAAATGATTTGGCCCAGAATTATAAAAAATTGCATGCTGCTTTTTAATCTCCATAAATAGAGGTGAAAGGAGCTGGTTTCTCCAGCAGATAATGCTCTTTTCTTGATCTCTCTGGTTCTCCCACAGTCCAGTCCCTCTTTCTTCTCTACTCTACTCCGTTGATCCCCAGCCTCTCTTTAAACCACCCTGCCCGACAGACAGTTCCACTTCTACGAGCAAAGTGCCTTCTCAAGCTCTAACTGTCCCATCACTTATTCTGTAAACTCTCATTTGTGATAAAGATAAGAAAGGTGCCCTTCTCAGCATTCATGGGACTAACAGATATCAGCTTTCTATAGCTAGCTGGTAATCACGTGCCATACAAGTCTGTGCTCTCTGCCGCTTCCAAATGTTCGTCTCCACATCTAAATCCTCCTACTCCTCTAGGGCCCAGATAAAGTCCTGCCTGCAGAGGGCGGCAGCCACTTCCTCCTGTTCTTTTGTAACTACAGCTCCTCGTCTGCATTACAAAATAATGATTATTATTTTATAATTTACTTGTTACTATGGCTATAACACTATCATTATAACTCACACTTACTGAGCACTTATCTGTGCCAGACACTCTTCTAAAGCCTTTCACGTGTTAACCTATTTAATTCTCAAAGCAATCTTATTATGTAGGTGATATTACTTTTTAACAGCTTTATTGAGGTATATGACTGATATACAAAGAACTGCATATATTTAATGTGTACAATTTGATGAGTTTGGACATATGCAAACACTCGTGATGCCATCACCACAGTCAAGGGGACAGTTTTATTATAGGTAAAAGTACTATCTGCAGTTTATGGTTGAGAAAAATTGAGCCACAGAGGTGAAAAAGTCAAATAACTTGCATTAAACTGCTACCGTAGGAAGGGGCGGAGCAAAATGGCGGCGTGAGCTGACCCGGGATTCTCTCCCCTCCAAAATACAGCAAAAGATTGGAAGAACTGAATTTCAGAGAATAAACATAATGCCAGCTCGTTAGAGACCTACAATACCAAGAAGGCGGAGATCATAAACCTAGCTTTACACCTTCGGAGGCGCTGGAACGGTAGGAGAGAACATCGCTCCCTCCCCTAGAGTCTGCGATCGCTGCGGTGCGGGTGGGGAAGGAGCGGGGGAGGGGCCGCGCGACCGGGGGATCATCCAGGACTCCTGCCGCTGATTCAGTGGAGACCCGCTGATGGGGCGGGGGGGGGAGATTCCGTCCACGGGGACCCTATAAATCAAGGGCCTTGGGAGACCAGAGAACAGAACTGATCTGAACCCAGACCAGCGTGTGTGAGTAACAGCCCTTGCCCCCCAGAAAAGCCAGTGGGCGCAGCCATCTTGCCCCAAGGCGGAGAGCTAACACGCCGCTCTCGACCCCCATCTAGTGGCGACAGGCTGTAACTGCAACTGAATTCTACCACCATTCAAAAAAACCACTCCTCTAACATCCAGCAATTTATAAAAGCCCCAGGCCAGAAGGAAAACAATAAAAACACAGAATTAAGTCCTGAGGACTTGGAATTAGGTAAACTAAGTGATAATGAATTCAGAGCAGCTATAATCAAAAAACTCAATGAGGTAGAGAGAAAGAGAAACAAGCCGAGTTCTGGAGTTACTTCACAAAAGAGATTGAAATCATAAAGAAGAATCAAACAGAATTACTTGAGATGAAAAACACAATGGACCAGATAAAACAGAATATGGATTCCCTGAATGCCCGTGTAGACAATATAGAGGAGCAAATCAGCATAATCGAGGACAGACAGGCTGAATGATGCCAGACAGAGGAAGAAAGAGAACTAAGAATTAAAAAAAATGAGGAAAATCTCCGAGAGATAATGGATTCAATGAGGAGTAAGAACATAAGGATCATAGGAATTCCCGAGAATATGGAAAAGGAAAATAGAGCAGAAAGTGTACTTAATGAAATTATTGAAGAGAACTTCCCAAATCTAGGGATCAACGGAGAAATGTGTGTAGAGGAGGGTTTTAGATCTCCTAGATTTGTCAATGTAAAAAGACTCACCACAAGGCACATAATAGTAAAGTTGGCAAATAGGAATGATAAGGAAAGAATACTCAGGGAAGTAAGGAAAAAAAAGAGAATAACCTATAAAGGAGCCCCTATCAGACTGTCAGCGGATTTCTCTACAGAAACCCTACAAGCTAGGAGAGAATGGAGTGATATATTCAAAGCTTTAAAGGATAAAAACCTTCAGCCAAGAATACTCTATCCAGCAAGAATTTCCTTCAGATATGAGGGAGAAATTAAATCTTTTCCAGACAAACAAAAGTTAAGGGAATTTGTAACTAAAAGCCCTCCATTACAAGAAATCCTCAAGAAGGCTCTCATACTTGAAAAAAGAAAAAAGGGAGAAAGGGGACACAAGCCACAGACTAGGGAGACCGATGGATAGAACCAGAACAGGATAGCAAATATTCAACTATAGCATTAGGGTAAAAATAAGGAAACTACCAAAACAAGGACGATCTTAGCACTCTAACTACAAATAATAAGACGAGT